CTCACAACTGCACTCTGCCCAAGTTTTTGAATTTTTGACTTTCAACCTACGTCTTTTCAAAAAACAACAGTAAAGAGGACGAACCAATCATTCAAAAGCCTGCTTCAGCAACCCTGATCCCAACGGAGGTGAGCCGAGTATGATCAGGCATAATATCGGGTGTTACTGGCGTTTTCCGTGTAATATGTAGCGAAACTATCTTTAAGCCTTTTTTTGGGTTACGATGTCCGTGGTACCGGGTTAGCTCACATTAGGTTAATAATATGTAGCGTTTTTGGATTTCTCTTCACACACCTTGCTTATCATTTTCTTTGATATTATAATAACTGTATCCAAATATGGTAACTAGTAAGTTGAAAAATCCAAGCGATAGGAATCAGGGTTTACAGTTGGCAATTTTTGACTTTTACAAAAAAAGCTGCCAAAACCTAAGTTTATTAGCTCATAGAGCCTTCTTTCAACCGACTCTACCGTTTTCACTCAGTTTTAAACTATATTTACATCTTACGAATTGAGTGGGTACTTCGTAAACTTGCTAGATACCCTTTCTTTTTCTCTCCAGACCAATAATTTATTGTGAAGTCATAGAAAATCGTAAAAAAATGGGGAGAACATTTCTGATTTATTTTATATTCTTATGAACTTCGAACGGTTGCACCGAATAAAAGCGTACTGAATATTATGTATCAACCTGTTGGTTTTGAGCAGTACCCTTTAACCAGTATCAGTAGCCAGTGTCCCTGTAAGGTCGGTGTCAGGCCTTGTAAATCCAGCGACTCGCTAGGAAGTCCACGGGTTCGCTTACAACGATACTAGCGAATCGCTGGTCTCGTAAAGTCTGAATAACCGAACAGGCACTACAAGAGGCATTCTTACCTGCGATTCAAACTGGACACAAGCAGAATCATCAACATTTAGTACGCATCATTATAAAGGGGTTCGCAAATCTTTAGTTCGTATCAGGGGTTGGACCAACTAGGACCTCGGTATTGAATTCAGACATTGTTGTCTCGCGAAAAATAGCACTCAGCATCGGCCTGAGCACTCCATTACTTGGGATTCGTCCATACAATTAAGCTACAGCTACAGCTACACACAACATCTAGAAATGTGTCCGTGAAATCCGAATAGCAGCTCGTATTATAGGTGCCAACCTCAAACTATTCTTCTTAGGTTAACTTCACTCTTCCGGTTGCGCTTGATGTGCCTGTGTTCTGAAGTGATTACTCCCTCTGGGAACGGCAATGAGTAAAACCGACGTCCGAACCAGCCTGAACTGTGAATCTTTTCAAGCGCTTCCATGTTCTGGTTGCCATCTACGATTAGTTTTGCCCTACTAAACCTATGCAATTATTCACAAAGGATTTAGCAGTACCGTCTAACTAATACTATTGCACATCGCTCTTCTGTTGATCGCACTAACAAATGATCATGATACCAATGTTGCACATGCCTTTGTGCTACGCCATACATCTGATTCTCACTCAGAACTGGTGAGGGTTGGGTGAAGGTGCAGTCACTACAAAGTATGGTATGGACCAGACAGAGAACCATTCTTTGGGACAAGCTCGGTACCAATAAATCGGCCGTTTGAAGGAGAGGAAGATCGCCTGCAAACCTGGTAGATGGCGCAGCTAGCCACTCCGGTGAAGGGACATTTGAAAGGCAAGATTCAGGATTAAATTATGAGGTAATTCCACTCAAATGTGAAAGTAGGGGTAGGAAGTGGACCGCCAGTGGAGAAAAAAGAAAAAAATCGTGAAATACACAGGAAATACGAGCCTTTTGCTCTACGCTGCGGAGAAGTTCAAAAGGCCGGCAGGGAGATGAGAGATAATGTGAGCGCGGAGAGCGCTAGAGAAGTCGAGTAGAGAGAGCAGATCAACATTGCGACGCAGACAAGATATCGAGCGGTGGGCGGAGCGTGTCGCAACAGGTGGAGCGTGTCAAAGTTCTTAGCGCCTAGCGTCTAAATAACGCTTTTCGAAGTAGGGAAGTGACGCGACCTCTACACTTGCGTACCTAGCGCTTCTAGCCACCGTAAAGGCTCATTAAGTGGGTCTGAGCCCGAACTTTGCCTTAAATTATCAATATCATAAAATCACTAATATGCAGTTTAGCTGTCGAATAAGAAAGTGTAACAAATTATGAACTCGCTGTTTGATGCCACACGTTTCAGCCGTTCCCGCTCGTAACGAGACGAATGTATTCGATGATCAGCCATATCCTTCCCTGTATTTTTATTTAGTTATTCAAAGAAGAACATTATATTACGGTAAGATGCAATATAGTAGCATGCAAACACAAAACACCATATTTAAATTTAAGGTCTGAATTTAATTATTCCTTCGCTTCTCATATCTCTCATGACGGTTCTAGGATTTACTCTGCCCCCAGACGCAGGAGAGAAAATCACTTTGGGTAGGTATGTTTTGCAGCCTGAAGCCTTCTTTTCCCAGCAAGTATTCATTACATATCGTCTACCGTGTTTTTTTTTCACTGAGATATCAGAATGTATTTGATTAATATTAC